GTGCGTTCTGCTTAAAAGTAAAAATATTAGTTCACTTTGTCTTACTTGTCTAAATTTAAGCGTATTGTTTTTTAAGTAAATAAGATATACAGTCAGTCAATAAAGTTTAGGTACATCGAAGTTTTTACAATACCGGCAACTATTTATTGTTTAAATATTTAGTTTTTCCCTAATATTTTTATAAAAATATGATGAGTTCTACACCAAAAACCCCAAAAGTCAGAGTTCCAAACCTTATGCAAAATTAAAGAAAACTCCGCAAATTTCCATCCAAATATTGCAATTTACACTCTTTAGAAAAAAGTTAAGTACGCAGTTTTTCAGCCCATTCAATTTTAGTATAACAAAGTGCAAGTTTGAGGCAGCTACGACTTACCATTGATATTTAGCAATTTTTTGTTGTTGTTTGGAAAGTCCTAGCTTCCTCATACTTGCACTTCATTATACTAAAATTGAATGGGCTAAAGTACTGCAAACTCAACTTTTTTTAGAGAGCGCAAATAGAAAGTGAATTATTTTAATGAAATTTTGCGGAATTTTCTTAAATTTTGCACAAGGTTTGGAACTCTGATTTTTGGGGAAATTAAAAAAAAAATTGCCGAAAACTAAAATATTTAAAAAATAGTTGCCCGTATTGTAAAAAATTCGTTGTACCTAAACTTTATTGACTGACTGTATTAAGGTAGCTGTGCTGGATTGCNTAATGATTAAATGCTGCTTTAAATTATTTTACCCATAATGATTACCGTCCCTGCTTTTAAAATTTGAAATAAAATAGTTTAGTGAAAGTACCACATTTCACTGCTTTTGGACTGGTTCGGGACTATTTACTATCGGACTGGTTCGTTTTTGGCGAAAAAGAACTAGTACTGAACCAGAAATTTGGTTCACTAGTTCGTGTTTTCCCTACAGGGCCCTGTGGGGAAAATCTCTAGTTCTGAACTGGTGCGCTTCTAGTACATTTAGACCCAGTACTGGTTCGCGATAAATCTCTTTTTTATGCAACCAACTGGCGAATTTAACATGGCGATGTCCTAGGAAGTGTCAATTGCCCCCCGCTGCATCCCTTTTTCGATAGTTCCGAACTAGTCTTAAATTCTATAGTTCCGAACCAGTTCTAATATCGACAGACGAAAGAAAAAAGTATCATGATTTCTTAATCTTTTTGGTTCTTCCGTGTGTGCGATTTTAAGTTATTTTGAAAGAAATGTGTTCTCAATTTGAAATTAAATTTGTTTGAATGATTGTAATAAATGTACGTTTACATACCTTTAGCTGTAGCTGAGTCTGCAGAAGTGCTCGCTGTTAAATTCCAGACGGTCCCAAGATGTTGAAATGTTAACACAAATTTTGGTTTTTTATTACCAAGCTATGAAAAAGCATCTGCGAAATGCACAATAGAAGCGTGTTTGAACGAAAAAGCCGCTGAACACATATCTATGTAAAGTAAACAAGCCCCCTGCTGCATCCCTTTTTCGATAGTTCCGAACTAGTTCTAACTTCGACAAATAAGATCTAGTTCGTTCTGCATCTCTTTTTCTATAGTTCCGAACCAGTTCTAAATTCGTCACTGTAGATATAGATTTCTAGTGAAAAAACTGAAAAAATTTTTTTTTTTTAAAGTACCACTTTTCGCCGATTTTGGACGGTGGGGATCTAGTTCCTATCGGACTAGTTCCTTTTTGGCGACAAAGACATAGTACGGAACTAGAAACTTGATTCACTAGTCCGCGGTTTCCCTGCAGGGTCCCGGAGACTCCCGTGTGCACCACTGATCTATACACACATACATATGTATGTCTCTATATGCGAAATAATGGCAGTGAGACATTTTGACCAGTTTCGCCTATTGTTTTCATTGATTATTTTTTAATTGATATTATATAAAAGTCTAATTCATGATGTTATAAACACAATATATGTATACAAATCAGCATTTCCAACTTTGTACAAAAATTATAAAAAGTGAGCAATTTTTCGCACCAAAATACTTTGAATTCAGAAGTTTTAGGGAGATTCCAAGTTTTCGATGTTATGCATTTTTCCATATAAAGTGTGTTCGAAATTTTTTTAAATGAATCAAAATGTATGACACCGTCAGAAAAAAACATCAAAAATCATCGGGATATTACAGAAACTTGCACTTTCATTTAATGATCTATAAAACTGCGAACTTAGAATCTTTCCAAAAATGCTGAATTAAAAGCTTGTTGTGACGAAAATTTACTATTCGTACTGCATATTCACAACAGAATTCAGCGGTTTGCAAATAATTCTCACAGCGTGCTTTTAATTTTCACTTTCACTTTTTGTAATTTTTTAATCTATAATGTGCTTTGTAATTTTTTGTTATATATTGGCATTTTTTGCTAAACTTCTATATTTTATGATTGTGCCAAAACAGAATGAATTGTGCCAGAAGTGCCTCTGAGAATGAGACGAAAACTCGATATATCGATATGTATCGTTAATTTTTAATTCTACAATGAAACACTGAAGAAACATCTACTCATTCAAAAATGCATAGAACCATTTCTTCTTCTTCTTTATTGGCGCTGTAACCGCCTAAGCGATTTTGGCCGAGCACACGCCAGTCGTTTCTCATCTGTGCTAACTGACGCCAATTGCAAATGCCAAGTGAAGTCAAGTCCTTCTCCACCTGGACTTTCCAACGCAGAGGAGACCTTCCTCTGTTACCAGCATCGCGGCCCGTGTTGAATATTTTCAGAGCAGGAGCGTTTCTGTCCATTCGAACGACATGGCCAAGCCAGCGGAGCCGCTGAATTTTAATTCGCTGCACTATGTCTATATCGTTGCAAAGCTCATACAGCTCATCGTTAAATCGTCTGCGATATTCGCCATCACCAACGCGTAAAGGTCCGTAAATCTTTCGCAGAATCTTTCTCTCGAAAACTCCAAGAGCCGCCTCATCAGATGCTTTCATTGTCCATGCCTCCGCGCCATACACCAGCACAGGCATGATGAGTGACTTATAGAGTGTGGTCTTTGAGAGAGGACTTTACTTCTCAATTGCCTACTCAGCCCAAAGTAGCACTTGTTGACAAGAGTGATTCTCCGTTGGATTTCAAGGCTGACATTATTATTGGTGTTAATGCTGGTTCCCAAATAAACGAAGTCGTCTACTTTTTCAAACTTGTAATTGTCAACAGTGACGTGGGTGCCAAGACGCATATGCTCTGACTGTTTGTGTGATGACAGGAGATACTTCGTTTTGTCCTCGTTCACCACCAGACCCATTCGCTTTGCTTCTCTATCCAATCCCGAGAAGGCAGAACAGACGTAGCTAGGGTTCGAAATTTCAGACTTTGGTATCGATACTGAGTACTCATTCTGGCATCGAGCTCATGGTATCGATACTCTAAAAGTATCAGGGAAAAAGTATCGATACTGCTCAGTATCGGACTCATTAAAATATCTCAAAAAAATTATTTTATTCTTCAATTGCATATCTAGTTATTTCCTGAAATTAAAACAATCGAAATTTTAAATATTTGATTTTTATTTCATTGCAGAACTTACTTTCACGTTAGAAGTGATTTTAACGTTAAATGTATATACATACATACATATATATGTACATACATTTTATTAAGAAATTTTCGTAAACTTTTTGGGTAAGCATTTTTGTAGCATATTTAATTTTAGTATAAAAATGTGCAAGTTTGAATTAAAAGTCAACGGTATGTAGTAGGCTACACGTAAATTTGAATAGGCTACAAAACTGCATACCCAAAAAGTTTCTAAAAGTTCTGCAATTTCGTGAACTTTGCGTTAAGATTTATGGCCTTGTTCATAAAAAATAAAAAAGGTTTATAATCTGAAAAATGTATGAAAATGTCATTTTATTAAGCTCTTTAAACCTACTTTATTTTTTATGAATAAGGCCATTAAACTTTAACTTATTTGGTTTATGTTATGTAACAGACTACACGCAATTTCAGTTTATTTTAAGTGATGGACAAAATTTAAAGATAGTAACCCATATAAGCAAAAAATTGGGTTGCCAATGGAAGAAAAAATTTAAAAAGTGTGTTTTTTAATAAGTATTCGATACTACGAGTACTTTGCAAAGTATCGAGTAAAATCACCAAATAAGGTATCGAGTATTAAAGTACTCATTTTTATACCCTCAGTATCGATACTTACTCAATATCGATAGTATCGTTCGAACCCTAGACGTAGCACTTGTTTTAACCGATAATATCGATGTCGTCGGCATACGCCAGAACCATTTACCAACAGAAAATTTTATTACACATATATATGAGGTACATATGTATGTATAACAGTGACCCACACTCAAAATCACACAGTGATATTATTACAGTATTCGCAATGTTTTTTCATTCTATATTTTTTTCATTACTTTTTTATAAAAGTATAGCTCAATCTGTAACAAAAGCCATATAAACCTAAATTGTAAAATTTTTGCAAAAATTAGAAAACAATCAAAAAAGTTTCTTAAAAATTGCGAACTTTTTAATAAGAATTTCTATAAAAAAATTTGGTATGCAGATTTTGGGTCTATTAAATCAGTCACTGATGTTGTTTGGCGCAAAAATAAGTAATGAGAAAATGGCTATGCCATACTCGATATCGAAAAAAAAATATCGATGTCGGCAAAAAAAACCAATTACTCGATATATCGATACTGACATCGATATATATATTTGCAGCTCTACGCTGGCGTTGCTCGCGAGCAAAAATTACCCACCTATGCCGTAAAATTTACGTATATTATGGTTCTAGGGCAGCGATGGGCAGAGAGAGCTTTTACTCTGCTTACGAATATACAAAATCTATAGAAAGCTTAAAAGAGCTTTGCCCGCGGGCAAGGCGATGCCCATCACCGTTCTAGGCAGGGTTGCCACTTTGGTAAATTGTTAACAAAATTGGTAGAAAAAATTTGGGTTGGTAAAAAGGTAAATTTTTTCTCATTTTGGTAGATATTTGTTGAACTTTTCGTTACCGATTTATTTTTCGTAGTTATCTTTATATTATAAATTTCTTTGCATACTTTTTATATACTTACATACGTATAAATGTATATCGATATAAGGCGAACATATCGTGCTCCATTCAAAACTCATTTTACTGGAATCCCGGGGAGCTTTTGATTGCCTAAATATTTTAAATGATTATTTAAATACATATAAAAAAAAATTACAGGTATGTAATGACGCATTATAATTGTTCACAAAAAAAATTTAATCTACGTCATTTTTTATCAATAGAAATTGTTAAATAAAAAACACAAAAGACTGGTGGCAAAAAATTTAAAAAGAAAATCAACGGGAACCACATTGTGAGCTATACTCAAGTATTATTTGCTTTAAAACTCGGTATCTTAAATTGTTCTAAAAATTCAGAGTAAAAAATTCGAAATTTGGACGAGAATTTTTTGAATTTTTCTAAATGCTGTATATAGTTTGAATCCTTAATTTTTGTGAATTTAGTTAAAACAACAAAAAATTTTTACTTGAAAAACATTGCGAATAATAAAAAAAATCACCAGGTGCTTTTTTGAGTCATTGTATTTGTCAGCCTTGAAATCCAACGGAGAATCACTCTTGCCAAAAAGTGCTACGTTGGGCTGAGTAGGCAATTGAGAAGTAAAAAGATCACACTCTATAAGTCACTCATCATGCCTGTGCTGGTGTATGGCGCGGAGGCATGGACAATGAAAGCATCTGATGAGGCGGCTCTTGGAGTTTTCGAGAGAAAGATTCTGCGAAAGATTTACGGACCTTTACGCGTTGGTGATGAGCGAATATCGCAGACGATTTAACGATGAGCTGTATGAGCTTTACAA